GACCCCGATACCCTCCCCGCCTAACCTGGCCCTAGACTGACCCCGATACCCACCACTGTCTCACCTAGCTTCTGACACAATTCCTCACCTAACCCAGATTGATATAATACCTTTTCATGCATGACTATAATATTAACTCCTTACTTTGACTTTCCCTCTCCTCGCAAACAGAGAAAATTTGTGCACACATAATATCCAAAAGGCAGAGTTTAATTCATGAAATGGTACAGTAACGTTTTGCTTCAAATCCTGAGCCTTTACGAATACCTTCCCCTGGCTGACTCTTTAACCCAAACCGGTCACATTCCCCCACCTCATTCCAACCCATACCATCGTCCTTTCCATGTGTTACCTAACCTAACACTTTCCTGGCCCTTCTCCCAGACTCGGTCCACCGGCTTCTCCCAGCCCGTGATTGCCTTCCTGTACTCTGCTTACCATACTCAGCCCACACTATTGGCTGCTCCTACTTATTGCAGTCCCAGCTTATCACCTTTACCTGCGATAACTAGATCCCGTCTGTCAACTTCCACTGCCTGACCCATCTCTCTATATAATCTCCAGAATCCCGGAGATGACTCTGACGAACAGCAGAAGAAACAGAACACTGCAAATACCAGAAAGATTATTTTGCGAGTTTCTGGATTGATGGGGGTTTTGGCTGGTGGTGCCCTGGTCTATGTATTTGGTAAGAGAAACAATGTAGAGAAGAGTTTGTAATATCTGGGTCACTGTAGACAAGACCAGAGCAGGGAAAATCTCACAAAGGAAAATTATATTAAACAGCTTCCCACATAGAAGTAGAGTATCTTACCATTTATAGTGATCTTTTATTTCACTGTAATGGAAGCCCTTGGCTCATGGAAGGGCTTAGGGCCCGACCCGAAGAGCCCTTACAGAATTAAAAGGGGTTCCTATAGCTCCTGGGTATCCCTAGATGCTTCATAACTCTTCCACCATTCTCTCCAAATAGCGCTGTGATTGGTGGTCAATGGACAAAGCAACAATTGATCAAAGGTGCACCGGACGTCGGTACAGTTCTGAAACTTATCTCCCAGTCAGGTGGTTGGTTTGCAGATTGGGCCCAGGTGATCCCCAGAGTCTCCAAACTCCGGTTGGGGGACATAGAAAGCAACCAGGGCTCCATCACATATCTCAGATATTGTCTGAATAATAGAACAGTACCGTTTCATTTCTAAATGGTTGTTTCTCCGCCCCAAAACCCCAAAATTATGGAAAGGATCAACAAATAAATAAAAACTGTGTGTGTAAAAAAAAAAAAAAGCTTAAACCTTCACTCCAAGCACCACAACAGCCTGTTTACACATTGCGCTGTTAGAGTTCCTTTGTCACTGAACAGTGTCTTGTATCTGCCGCTCCTAGTAACAACAAAGCAAGACTTTTCACCTTCTCCTCTGCCATTTGGATCAAGTTGCGCACGTTCATCCCATGTCAGGTTGTGTTCTGTTATATCTCTGCACACAGTCTTTGATCAGGGTAAAGGCAGCTGTGGCGTGGCATTGTTTGGGCCTTTTTTTTTTTCTTTTTCTTTAAAGCAGTTTTACCTCTCTGGTCTGAATGGGGGCTGAACTGGATAACTGCAATAATCTCTGCTAGTCAATAAAACCCATAGACCAAAATAAGAGGCCTGATTAGTGCAGCCCCTTTTTGGTCTTCCTACTTTTGTAGTGAATTAGCAGAAGGTTTTTTTGTTTGTTTGTTTTGTTTTTTAATTTTTTTTTATATAATGCATTAAATTGGGGTCACTAAGATCACATTTAATTGAAAAGAAGTTTGCAGAGCAAATTGCTGTTTTATTGTGTATCTTTGTCGCTTTGGGGATGGAAGAGTTGTCCTCTGTTTCCTGTATGAATGTACCTTTTATTTTATTTTTCAAAGATCATTCTCTCTAAATTTTAAATTCTCAGAGACAGAGGTGAGAAAGGGATAAGGGAATCTCATAACGTATTCTGGGATAAACTGAATACAGTTAAACCATAAATAGCACAGATATTTTAAGCAAGTCCGTCTCAAAGAAAAAGGGAAATGCAATCTGTCATTTGTTATTGGAAATGTATGTGCTTATTAAAGGGACACTATAGGCACCAAAACAACTTTAGCTTAATGAAGCAGTTTTGGTGTATAAATCATGTCCTTGCCGTCTCACTGCTCAATTATTTGGCATTTAGGAGTTAAATCACTTTATTTATACAGCCCTAGTCACACCTCCCTGCATGTGACTTACACATCTTTCCTAAACACTTCCTGAAAAGGAAGATATGTTGGATTCCTTAATTGCATGGTCTGTTTAATCTAGAATTTCTTATCTCCTGCTCTTAGTGGCTTCCTACACCCTGCAGGAACTTACAATGTGTTTTTTTTTGTTTGTTTTTTTAACACTTTCTGCACCACGAGAGGGGTCTGTCTGTAGTTTCCCTTTAAGTTTCATATACAGAGCAAGAGATTAAAAACTGCTAAAGTAATATCTGAAACCATTTTGTTATGCAGGCTGTGTCAGTCAAGACCAGGGGATGTGTGTCTAGGGCTACATAAACAGAAGCAAAAGTCACTTAACTCCTAAATGGCATCTGCATCTACTCCCCCCATTTCTATAATTTATTTACTTCTGTAATGCAACTGTGTTTCTATCCACAGGCAGTAACTCTGTGGACGAGCAGGGGAATAAGGTGAGCTCTCACTATGTGCATCCATCACATTGATCTATTTCATACCAATATCCCAGGTAAAACTCAGAATATTGTAGTTGGTCTATAATAAAAGCGACACTGTCACTCCTGCCCCTGAAAAATTAGTATTTCATAAATATATAATCTCTATAAAACTCATTTCACTGAAATTTTTAACCCAGTCAAGCGATTTACATAGACAATGTAGAGGGATTAGTTTGTCTGTATTTCTCATTCGCCTGATTTTTCTCAGGGACTCTGGGTGGAGCTACAGAGTCAATCCTGATAGCTGTCACCAGTGACGCCAGGAGGGA